GTAATGAGACCTTATCTCTATAAAAAACAAAAAGATTAGTCAAACATGGTATTGGATGCCTTAGTCCCTGCTATTTGGGAGGCTGAAACAGGAGGATTCCTTGCACCTAGGAATTTGAGCTTACAGCAAGCTTGGATGACCCATTGCACTCTAGGCAAGGCAACAGAGCAAGGCCTTGTCTCAAGCAACAATAAAAACAAGACCAAAAACCTGAAAGCAAGCAGTTTCTGCTTTTGTAATAGTGTTTCTGATTCAGCCATTGTAGTAAAGTCTTCCAGGAGGCTAAAAAGCTGTCAGGAGGTGGCTCTTTAGATATTGTTGTTACTCCATTATAGGGATAAAAAAATTAAGACAGTCATGTGAAAGAAACTTTGTTAGAGAATATATAATTTTTCATTAGCAAGAAAAAATGAATTGAAATGATTCATGTTTATTTACAATATAGATTGTGGATCCCACTCAAATTCTGGAAGGAATCAACCTGTCAAAAAGGAAAGAACTTCAGTGGCCTGATGAGGGAATTCGGTTAAAAGCTGGGAGAAATAGCTGGAAAGACTGGAGTCCTCAGGAGGGCATGGAAGGCCATGTGAGTGCTTTTCCTAACTGTCTAGGGCTGTCTTGTTTGTAGTCTGACTGACTTGTGTGCATGGTTCTAACTGCTTTATGTATTTACACTTTATTCTTAAAATTACTACTTCTAATCCTCCGGGAGGGATAAGAGTTTGTGAGTACATGCAGGGTCTCTGGACTGACTGCTTGTTTCATTCTAAATCGTCAGGTTATTCACCGATGGGTGCCTTGCAGCCGAGATCCAGGAACTAGATCCCACATCGACAAGGCAGTGCTTCTGGTCCAGATTGATGATAAATACGTGACTGTCATTGAAACTGGGGTACTAGAACTTGGGGCTGAAGTGTGAGCCAGTGTTTTAAAACTGCGCGTTTCTTTTTCCCTCTCGATTCCAAGACGCTGGAAAAAGAGAGGAGCAATTGGAAGATGCCTGCAGGCATCACTTTGCCGTCTGTGGGAGAGACTTGAAAACAGTGAGCTTGGTTCAGCACCTCTCCTTTGCCATTCACCCTGACTCCTGTCACTGTTTCCATCTCCAAATAAAGCTGAAATATTTTTTTAAGTTAGCTGCCGAGAAAAGATTTTGCATGAAGGATAAAATTCTGTTAAAATACATCCTTTAAAAAAGTTTTTCCTATGCATTGCCTATGCTTTAAATCAACAAACTCTTCATTTCTAAACTATGATCTCATATTTTTCTAATTTCTTTGCCAAAAATAATTGCCATGTTTTGTCACAGAACATGAAATCCATCTACCTTGATTTTTAAAAACAGACCAGTGTAAAAATGTTCAGTTTGACATATAGCAGTATAAAAGTTTAATGTACAGTGAAAGAGACTATGAACAGACATAGATTTATCTTATTCCTTGAGCGCTAAAAACTTTAATGAAAAAAAAACTGCACTAATTTTTTTACAACAATGCACTAAAGTCTGAGATTTCTCAGAACATTTATTTATATATAAAATAAAATACCATTATTTAAATTGCCTTTGGAATTAACCCCTCCCCTTTCCTTATAAACTTAGGTAGCAGAAGCTGCACTGCTCATTTTTCTCTTATAGTCTGTACTTGACGTGAGTATGTTGGACGTTTTCTTTAAAATGAATATGAAATCTCAAGATGCACACAGCTTCGTCATTGACATTTCCCGGAGCTACCAGTCAGTGACTCGGTCACGTGAACACCACTGCCAGCTACCGTGTCCCCAGTTCAGAGGGAGCAGCTCTGCGGGGATCAGTTCTGGGAAGAAAACACTTCGGCTTTTCAAAGAAGAAGATGAACATCCAGGAATTTAAAGAAAGAATCAATTGCCCTTTATTTATTTTTCAGAATTCCTAGTTCTCAAAGATATTTACATGCAGTTCAGTTAATCAAGTAAACTTTTTTTCAAACACATTTCTCCAGATGGTGCAGTTATTACTATTGCATCCCTCCTTAATAACTTTGCTTTTTATGTTCTCTCCCTTTCTTTCTCTATTACTTGAATTTTATTTCCTGTAATTTATAGTGTGTAGTTATAATCTGAAATATTTTTAACTGTGAAATTGACTTATTTTCTATGTTGCAGAACTTAAATTTTTTTTTTTTAAGCATGTATTCAGGGAACTATGTTACTCAGATTTACAATTGGGTTACCTGGGAACTGCAGCTTAATTTGCAACTTAGCATTTTTTAAATCCTTAAGAAAAATGTCCATTTTGGTATGAAATTCCAAAGAAAATTGTACATCTTCTGTGAGCATTTAGGAGCAGCCATCTTTCTACCCCTGTGAATAGAAAATGAAAGGAGTCAGGTAAAGTTAATTTCAATACTTTATTTAATCCAGTATATCCAAAGTATTACTATTTCAGTATGTGACAGACACTAGCCAGATTTCAAGGACTCAGTAGCGAGGTGTGCCTAGTGGGCACCGTGGACAGCACACGGTTAAAGGATTTTTTGAAGAGAGGACAGAAGAAAGAAGCTGTTTTTCCTCCTAATTGTGATGTAGATCTCACAGTATAGTGTAACACTGCAGTGGAAAGAATGAGAATGGGAGCTAATGTACAAACGCATTTCCACTTCAAAACCTATTTATTTTCTTTTTATTCTCTTAAAATTTTTGTGGTTATTCAGAACCTAACGTGCCTTGTGTCGATGTTTCCGTAGACTTCACGCTTTGCAAAATTTACTGTTTAAAAATATTTGTCAAATGATTTATTGAACCTTTATACAAAGGTCCCCTTTCTAAATTGACCATTTAAAAATGTATTTTCTGGTACTGTCATATTCTGTATTTGCTTCATTTGAGCAAGTCTGCAGTATGCCATTAAAGTTCAGTGTTCTTTTTGTTTTGTTGAATTTTTTTTCCTGAAATGGAATATATCATCTATCCATCTGCATAGATAGTATTTTTTAAATATTCTCAAAGGAACTATGTCCCCTGCTGCTTGTTCCTTTTCTACAGTGAGTATGATCTTTTCATGGTCATTGCCAAGATAGGTGCAGCCTTTTCAATCTTAGATAGAAGATAATTCATTTTCATTTACATGGAAAAAAAAATCTGAACTTCAGCTGATTTAATCAGAAGGAGCAAATTTTTTATCAAGACTAGCTCCTCTTCCAAAAAAAAAAATTTGTTAAGCACATCATATACTCTGAAAAAGTCAGATTTAAATGTAAAGTTAGATTTTATATGAAACCTATATCTCTCAATTTGGGGTAGTAATTGGTAGGCATTTTTCTCAAAACAAGTTGAATTCTATTATTATATAACTCTTTAGTGAATTTATAAATTAGAAACCCTAAGAGAAGCCCTGTTATTTTTAAAGTCTAAAGCTGATAGCCTTTTACAAATCATAATACTTTTCTAATAATTACATCAGGGGAAATGATAATAATTAAAGAAAAGTTTGTGTCTTAAGAATAATTTGATTTAAATTATTATTTTAAAAGAAACAATTTAATTAATGAAAATTAATTGGTCATAAATGTTTTATTCTTCCCCCACCCTGCCCTGAGAACAGTGACCTCCTTGTTTTGATTCTCTGCTATACAGTTTTCAGTAATGTACAAAACTCCAGTATACATTAATGTCTTTAAGTTTATAATTGCCAAAATTCTGACTTCCATAATTTGAAAGTAAAGAGATAACAATTAAAATGCTAGCTTTTTATTCATTTCCTTTAAATAGAGTTGCATAACTGAATTTTTTCTTGTTTGATTTTTGTTTTCCTTTCATTCAATAGCAGAAAACATTTTAGAACTCCTAATTAAGCTTTTGCTTAATCTTTCAATCAGTACCTTGATGTGAACTTTATTTTTACATCATTTATGACAGTGGATAAAACTTCTAAGTGTTGACTTTTTCCTAAAGAGCTTTAATGTTTCCAAGGCTCTAGATTAATATAAGATGTTAATATTTAAGAAACTTGGAAAGATGTTAATATTTAAGGTGGAGAGGCAGTGTGTATATTTTTTAAGATAATTACAGGTTAATTTTAGTAAACAGTTAATCAGCATTCTGTCTTCTTTGATTTTTTTTATTACTGGATGATTAAATTCCATTAGATTTTAAGTATTCTGAAAAATACTTCAAGTGTATCTGAAATACTTCTAATTTTTGAAACAGAAGTAGTCAGACAGTATTCCTGTCCTGAGTGAGACACAGAAAGTTACTCTGTGTGTTAAATGTCAGGCAGTGAAAATACAAGTTTTTATGTAGAAAACTATCATTCATTAAGATGTATTTTTCTTTTTAGATTAGTTTAATTTTCTGTCTCAGATCCTTACATAAGAAACAGCCTCACATCTAAGCAAAGGTAACTTAGCCTTAACAAAGCCCCGTGGGTTCTGAGCAAGGGCCTCCCCGCTCTGTGCATCAAGTCTTTGGTGGGTGTGGAATCAAGTCATTAGTCCACAAGGAGGGCTTTTTAAACTTAGGAGTCACATAGCTAACTGTCAAGCACCCTTCCTCCTAAGTGAATATGTGGCTTGAGGAAAAGGTTCTGTTAATTTTGTGTGAGAATTCTTTGAATTTATGTTTTCTAGATAGTAAACTGCTGTCCAGATTACTTTTATATTTATTTTAATTTCTCATGAGTTTTCATGGACAAAGCCTTTTGGGTTTGTTTGTTTGTTTTTAAGTCCTCAGTATCCATTCGCATTCTTTTTCACAGTAATGTAATCATGTAAAGTTACTTTGTCTGGACACAGACCCAGCTTTTTTTTTTTTTT